GATGAGAGGAGAAAGACAGTCGAAGCTGGAAATAGGCCGGGTTTGTGATGAAACCAAAAAGCGGGCGTCGGAGGTGGGCCGATTTGATAGGAAGTTTGTGGGCCGAAAATTGAATGAGCCAGCACATGTAGTGGCCCACTTGGATTGTGACTGGGAAGGGGAAACAATTTGGGTTGATAGTCCACCGAATTCCATTATGCTTCTTCAACAAAATGAAGCTAGTGTAACAAACATTCCCCGCAATTAATAAAAGACAAAAGCATTTCTATAAAAAAATATGTTATATTCAGTTACATAATGATATACTTTGAAATCGTTATAATTTATGAAGAAAAATTACATAAAATTATCGTTCAAAAATTAAAAAAAAGTATTATCATATTCGACTAATACCCAACTAATATACTCTTACTCTTAATTAGTAGAATTTGGATCTCAAATCCGAATCCAAACAAGTAGAATACTTCTCAGCCTAATCTACAAAATTTATTGGTGTTGCCGTGAAAACAAGAACAAACCGAAAAGGGGAAAACCAACACAAACAAAGATTATTTTCCATTAATAATTTTCAATTACTTCTAGGTTACTATTTTGAACCGGTTTCAAATATATGTTATGCTCAGCTTACATAATGATATACTTTGAATCGTTATAATTTATGAAGAAAATTAACATAAAATTATCGTTCAAAAATAAAAAAGTATTATTATATACTACTATAATACCCAACTAATATACTTTTACTCTTAATTAGTAGAATTTGGATCTCAAATCCAAATCCAACAAGTAAAATACTTGTCAGCTAATGTACAAAATTTATTGGTGTCGTCGTGTAAACAAGAAGAGACCGAAAAGGGGAAAACCAACACAAAGGAAGATCAGAAAATGGCAAATTAGTGCGGTAATGTCGAAAGTATACAACAACGCTGTAACATTTTGTTCTCTTCGAAAGCGACTAGCAGCGGTCGCCACCTAACGGCAAAACCGACCACAGCAACCGAAAGCTGCACCAGAGATTAAACTATATAAAGTGGATAAACAAAGAAGAAACCTACAGAAAGAGGGAACTCAAATCATGCCACACAAAGTCGGCATTAATTAATCATATTTAATATAAAAACAATTAGCTAGAGACTTATCACAATCACAATTCACATACATATAGCTAGGTATAAGAATACATCATTGTGATTACTGTTTGTGCCACGTAACCTTCCTCTCCTAAAGACCCCCGCACGCCTCCGCTCTCTCGCACGCGTCCGCTCCCTGCACACACAGACGCCCACCGAGCCCCTTGGAAGGGCTCGTTAGCACTCTGACGCTCAAGTTAGTATGACCCTTTTAGAGAGAGAAGTAGGATATGAGTTTTAGAAAGAAGTTGGAACCTCCTTAAATGAGCTCCACCCACTTCACTATTTATACCCGGGGTTGGGTCGACCACTGCCCCCCAAATCCGCCCCACGTCATCACCTCATTAAATGCACTGTACCTTACCCCTTTCCTGCGCCCCGACACTCTGACACAACCTCTCCCTTCTGGGGCGCATGGCCCGCCTCTTGTCCCCTCCGTACGCTTTTAACCGTTGCCCCCCTCTTTGTCGTCATGCGCCCTTCCTTGGGCCGGGCTCCACCAACGGGCCCGCGGCCCCTAGTTCCTACCTTTGGGCGGGCTTTCTCCCTATCCGGCCCACTCTTCCGACCCATTATGACTCTTTGGGCTCTTTATTTGGGCCTCTCCTTGTATGCCCCCCAACAATTACTTTTAATAATTCAGTTTTAAGACTTTACAAAGTTATCTTTTATGTGGTGTAACATCATTTTATAAATTGTTAAATGTGGAGGGTTTATGTCAAGTGCCAAGTATTATGGTTGGTCAATGACTCAATGCTGCGTGCTTTAGATTCCATGGGGGTGAACTTTGAACATTTATTCTTCAAATGTCTTCTATGTTGTTTGCTTATACGGGCAAACAGTCCGATTGAGAAATTTTCTCCGACTCTTAATATTTGATGATTTTAACATGTGATGTCAATGGTTGCTTTACTCAGCGACCAACGTGATATATCCTTAATTATACGAGAATATGAAAGTCTCATAACATAATAGTTTCTGAGCGCGCTCAACATCTTGTGTGGTCCTTAATTACCATCGAATATTGCTAAAAAGTACTTGAGTTTCCCACTCGTCATTTGATATCCCCATCGTGGTATTCATCTCCTACTTATGCATACTGGTGGTCTCCTCCTTGCCGCTTGAAAATAAATGTTGATGTTGTTGCTAGGAGGTCTGAAGTTCTCCGAGTTTGGTTGTGCAAGCCTCTGATAAAGGGGTTCTATTTATAGTGAGCTTGCAAATATAGGGTCATTTCTTATCGATACTTAAGACGGGTGATTTATTTCCCGATAGCTCGTCTTGGCACCCTACTTTGAGATAGTTGTTCATTAGCTCCAACATTGATTGTTGATGGATGTGGTATAGGTAATTTTGTATTTCAAAACTGTCAATTACCAAATGTCTTCTCTAAAAAGTGTGGTAGAGTTTCGAATGGTTCATTGATAATGAAGCGAGTTGTCCATATATCGAATGAAGTCTTTAATTGTTTTTCTTGGAGTTAACATTATTTGATTTTGATGGATTTATTGGTGAGTTTTTTCTTTGTTTTATTATACTAATTTATATTCGATCAGAGTACAAATTTCAATCTGATTTGCTCCTCAAAGCACATACATAATCATTGAGTAAACCAAGTTAGATTGATCTTTGAATAGGATGACGAGTGGATCTATTGCCAACGGTAAACATAAAAATTTCGACCAATAAAAAGGCCATAATGGGACAGCTTGAATAATGATCACTGCACTTTGAGGTCACTAACCAAGCACCCCATGAATTTTTGATTCTTAACAAACTTGTCATGAAGTTTTACTATTTAACATAATGGTCCCTCTAGGTTTCTCCATCTTCGTCCTAATTTTTTTTTCCCACCTGACTTTTCCATATATCTACGTGCCAACTTAAGTTGGAAAACCTAGACTATAATTAGCCGAATTTGTAAATAAGAACTCCCACTTACATGGTCAATCCATTGTAAACAAGAACCAACTGAAAACAAACTTGTTATTCAGCCGAGTTCTAATCCGCATTATTCAATCACTACAGTTCTATACTCTTTGTGCATTTCGATAGTTGATAGTTGGTAAGACAGTCTATATAACATTTTCATAGTCAATACTGCCAAGTTTAGAGGTGAACATGGTTTGACTCGGTCCATTACGGAATCGAAACAAAACCAAAACAGACTAAAAGGAGGAACATAATTGAATTAAAAGTAAATTTGATTTTATTCGGTTCGGTTTAGTTAGATTGTTTTTACTTTCTTTATAAACATTCATTATGGACAGGCATTGGGTGTGTTAGGAATGTTTTACACGAAAAGTCACCCACCACAACTAAGCTGGTGAATTTAAATATGACCACAATCGCCCAAATATCAAACATTGGGTGAGTTGGTTGGGTGGATGCAGTTTGAGGGTGATTTGGGTCGATAAGTACATAAATTTCAACATTTGTCTTCGAATTGGAATAAACAACAACTAAGGAAATATTTTTATAAAAATTTTCTGAATAAATCAACCTATGGATGCTACCAATTAGTATTAGAAGATCAATATTTAGCCAGACATAAAACTTATAGATAATGAAAACACGAAAAAAATTTGAGTTCAATTGAGAGTTTTTGAAATTTATTTGTAAAATATATGTGAGTGGTGGGTTTGATAGGTTGACCCACACCCACCCATATTTTGGTCGGTTGACCTGGGTTTAGAAGCTAATAGGCTTTGTCCATTACACCCACTAACAGCATGGCGGGTTGAATTTTATCGGGTGGATATGGGTGGGTTCGACGGGAGAGGTGACTCATCCAAAGTTCATTCCTTGAACTAATGAAATAGAAAGTAAACCTCATTATACATTCAAGTTAGTCGAATTCGATTCAAATATTGTTTTTATTTGGTGTGGACTGGATCATAACTAATCGCTAATCGAAATGAGAGTTTCCACTTACTATTCCAATCTTGACAGTAGGGTTGGGAAAATTAATAGACCAGACCGTTTGAAAAACCGTGGACCAAACCAGATCACATAGTTTGGTTTGGATGACTGGATCGTAGACCGTGAAGAATGGTCCGGTCTGGTCCATGGTCTGTATTATATGAAGTTTTGAACTCTTGGTCTAGTTTGGTCTAGACTGCAGTTTACCGGATCAAACCGTCGATCTAGCCGACTTCCCAATACATGTTAGTATCCCACTCGACCACTCTCCCAAATCTCCCAAGTCCCAACGAGACTCAAGTCTCAACTATAATTTTGAGAATCTCATCCCTCCTTCATTGACAACCACATTTCACTAGAGAATAGAGACGATCGTGTCTCCATACGACATTATGTTAATGTTTGTGACGTTATGGTGCGAGTTGGGATTTTTTGACTTTGTATCTTTGTTATTTACTAAGATTTAGGGAGTCAAAATTATTCATGCATGTTGGATTTTATGTTTTAAGGCAAAAAGTAATTTTTTCCTCGGTTATTGCTTCAATTTTTAATGTGGTCGACTTAACAAAGTGTTCATTTTTTGTTCAATGTGGTCTGTCTGGACCAGACCGTACCGGATCAGACCGCACATGCATGGTCTGGTATGGACTGTATAATATACGGTTCGGTCTCTGGTCTATACTTTAGTCTCTCGGTCTGAACTGCAACTCGTCTATATGGTCTGGTCTGAACCAGACCGCACCGTTTTCCAGTCCTACTTAACAGAAAAACACTTGATGACAATGTATTGAATGGTGTGACACGTTAGACATTCCAAACTTCAAAGGCAAAGTTTGTTACAAATCAAAATTGGACAACCAATTTGTTAATGACACTAAACTTTGGTGACCGTTAAGGCATCAACCCAAAATGAGAAGAAAGAAGGAGAAAAAGGGCAAAAACAAGAGGGGTCGAGAAAGGCAACTGCATTCCTTCCTTCCTCCCGAGTGAGCCACATCAAACCGCGCTGTCGTCGTGCTGGAGTCCTGTAAAAGCCTCTGTAAACCAACCATTCCTTTTTCTTCTCTCTTTTCCCAATTTCCTTTCGAAATCATTTTCCCTTCTTCTATAAAATCCACTCCAGTAATTCTACTGTATCCTTCTCTCTTTCGTTTTAATTATCTGCTCTCCATTCATTCGCACACGGCTCTGTCTTCGCTGCCAGACACGGCAAACAACGACGACTCTCCTCCACCTCACAGTCACAACTCTGTCTCGTCTCCCCCTTTTAATACTCTTCTTCATTTCCATATCTCTGTTATCGTTTCACTGTCCCAAAGAAAGGAGCCGAGGAAACATAAAAAGCATCCCCGACTTCAGCTGTTTCAGTCTCTAATGGAGGATCGCAAGGAGGTAGCTACTTTTCCCCCCACCCTCTATGTCTCTCTTTTGTTTGGTTCTTGAGAAAATGGAGGAAAGTTAGGATTTTGATTCCTGGGTCTGTTCATTTCGTTTGGATTGTCTTCTGGGTACTTTCTCTCGAATCATTTTTAAGTAGCTAGCTCGAGTTGGGGTTTTTATAAAAGAGATGAAAATTGTTTAGATTTTCTCTATATCTTGTTTTCTTCCTGAGAAAACATGAAATAAAGTGAGGGAATTTGATTCCTGGGGTTATTGATGATTTGATGTTGCTGGTTTTGCTTTCTGGGTCTCCTTTCACTTTCCTCTCACCATTCAAGCAGCTAGGAGGAGAAGCCCTCGATGATTAGCCATGGCTGCTTTTGGCCATTCTTTTGCTTACATATTCGTACCTTTCTTTTCTGCATTTTGCTTTCTAAATCACCAGCAAAACATTGGATGCTATACCCTTTTTTGCTAGTTTTACTGTGTTATGTTCTTCATTGTTGTGTTCTTCATCAGAATAGCCTGGGAGAGGTTAAACTATTTAATTAATAGCTTCGACATTAGCGAAACATTCGAAACAATTCCTTTTTTTTTTTTTTTTTGCTTTCTTAGGAGAGGTTGCCTGCACAAAATGAGAAACAGTCCAATTCACATAGGCCAGGTTTCTATAATTCCCAATTTTGTTTTTATTTGTCAATAAAGATAGGAATGAAAGCGTGAAAGACTTTTCTCCAGCTGTTGAAATTTCTTCTTTTGATAATACAGCAAAATTTCAAGTATGTTTGCCTCCCCTCCTATTGTCATTCCATTCCCATACCCAATTTTTAGTATCTAGGTTGAATTCTTCCTGTCCACTTGTTAATTTCTAGTTTCCTTTTACTTTAGATTTGTTTTGGGGAAGTCCATTAAGGAGTCCTCTATCCACCTAGGAACAAGGCCAAAATGAACAACAATAAATGAGATTTCTGAATTGTAAACTTCTTCACTTTTTTGCTAAATTAAGTGTTGCATTACATCTCCACAGAAAAACCTTTGTTAGCTTTAAGCTGTACTCATCTTAAACAGTCCATGCTGATCAAACATTTGTTATTTGGCAGAGGAATTCACCATGGCTATCAGTGCCACAGTTTGGGGACTGGGATCAGAAGGGTCCATTGCCAGACTACTCCATGGATTTCTCGAAGATCAGGGAAATGAGGAAACAGAACAAAACCAGGGCCAGCCTGGGAAATGAGGAAGAACTCATCAACCCGACAGCAAACCTGCCAAAAGTTAGCCACAACAACGACAATCAACCACAGCAATACCATCACACCAACCACCAACAACACTCCCCCACTGTAAGACTTCTTCTTTCCATTCTTGTTCTGTGTTGAAAGGCCTTAGTTTCTTGAAAGAAAAATATGACATGAGACTTCAATTTCGTCTACTTGTTATCTTACATGTTAATGGAAATCATAAGTGAAAACTCATGTTAGTCAGGTGATGTTAACACCTCTATCAAATTGGGTGCACCATATTTGTCACTGACTGTCAAGTTGTGCCTTACTGTGCTTATTAAACCATAGATAATAACAATGTCAGTATGTGATCTAAATGGTACAGATATAATTGTGGACAGAGAGTAGTTGAAGGAATTTAATTAGGGGGGCCAACAAGTAATAAAAGGATATCAATGCTCCTATGGAATTGCAGATGGGGTGTGCCATGTGGGGAGGGTTTGATGGGGCCATGAGTTGTTGAAAATGAGAAAGCTTTGGTTTATTATTATTTTTGGGTAAGAGAGAAGCTTAGGTATTATTAATTCCTTTGGGAATGAATGTACTTTGTTTAGAATACTGATTCTTCGAGGTGGGATCATGGTAGGAAATCTTGGGTTTCTTGCTTTGTTCTTAGCAGCTAACAACAAAGCTATTATTATATAATAAACATATATGTGCAAGAGAAGTCTTGAATTTGCCATTTCCTAATAAGACTTTGACATTAACAGCCTGAGTATGGTATAGAATATATGTGAGTTGTTATAGAATTCCACATCAACTGCTGTCATTCTGTGGCTAGAGCATTCTGAAAATGAGTCATGAGTCATGCCATTCTTCACTTTCAACTTCATGTGGTTCTTGTGGGAACGATATGAGATCCATTTTACTCGCCCCGAAAAGAATTGTAAAACAGAACAGAGTATAAACATTGTGTTTGGAACTCTTTTAATAATTCGATTTGTTGGAAAAGTGCTGGTTCTTGGCTGTTCTTCTAAGTTAGACCCTTGCTTATGGATTGGGTTTAAGTGATCTGTTTCTGGCTCAAATTCTATCTTCTGTGTTGGTGGCCTCATACTCACAAGTAAGAAAGGGTGTCCTTGGAGGGTAGTTGTCTTGTCTGTCAAGAAACCTTACCCTATAGCAGGTCCACATGCCATACGATATGTGGGGCAGTTATTAACTATATAGGGATGAACCAAATCAATCATTCTTTTTGTTTCATTTCCTTGTACACGATGGAGAAATCTGTGTACTGTCTGGAAAGTGGTCTGCAGAAATGCACGACTGCAGTTAACTTCTGCGTGTATTTAGTACAACACACCAACCAAACAGATCAAAATGAAACCTTTCGCCATTTTGTTGAATACCTACCTGAAGACAGAAGAGAGTTAATGGAACTATTATTACTCTTAATAGAGTATTGAGCTACTTGCTTGCTGGTGGTCTTTTAACTCCTGTAATGAACATGTTTGTGAACAGGCAAGGAGGAGCTTCTTCAGTTACTTCAACTGCTGTGTGAAAGCTTGAGAAAGAAAGGCGGCGGCCGCGGCGGCGGAAGGAATGGTGGGTGTATCATGGATCCTAGAGTGAATATTTTGTGTTGGTAGATGTTATTTCGAAGGATCTTTTTGATGTTTGTTTCCCATCTGTATGACCTTAGTATTATTCTCATCATGTAGCACTTCTTCCTTGATCTTTTATCAATCCAAATTGGTTCCTCGTCCAGACCGATTGCTTTATTCATAATCCAAACAAGGGATGGTTAAGAAGTACTCCAGTGTTTAGGGATGATGAGTGCTCTTTTTTGTAAAGATAAATCTGCAATTTCATTAATTGGCTAGGAACCAAATTATTTTCACTTTACATTCCTCTAGAACAAGGGATGGTTAAGAAGTACTCCAACAGGTAAATACATTAATCATCATCAAAGCCTAAACAAAATTAAACGTTTCAGATAAAAATTAGCCAAGGGCAAGCGCATCCCCCCGGTCGATGATCATGAATAAGATAACCCTGTTCGAACCCAGTCCACGGTTATGAGCAACAAGACAACCGTAGCAGCAGACTTCATAAAAACTGAGATCCCCCTGCCAGCCAAGAACAGTCCGCAATCAATATCGATCAATTATTACTGATATAAATTCCCCTTTTTATGATAACAAACACTACGTTGTGTGTGCAAGCATTGTGTAGGTAGGGGTTTTAGGAAAACCAACCTTACGTTCTTTTGCACATGCTCGACGAGTTCATCAAAGGTCATTGGAGCAACATAAAAAGGTCCATCATGTGGACACTCAATCCAAACTTCCCCGCTATCATCTTTCACAGCCTTCATGAGCATAACAAGCAAATTAACTGTTAATGCCGCGGGCCAATTGAATGATTCAGATTTCAGCAGAGCAAGAAACCACCTTCCAAGACGAATTTCTAAAGAGGTTCACCAGTCACTACCAAAAACCAAACTAACAATGACATCGCGCGCGACAAGTCTCAATTCATGCAAAGCATATCCAGATATCATAAATCATTGGACCCTCTTCTACCAATAATGCTTTCAGGATTCTACTCATGGGTTTGCCGACATCAGATACGAGAGTTATGTGCTGTTACAGCAAGCATTCGAACTTTACAGCAAAAAAATGTACCTTGCCGACTACAGTTAAAGAGGCACCAGTTGGGAGTAGCCACTCCATTCGCTTCACTCCAATATATATCTATGTTCATCATGAAGGGCTGACGAGACCATAAGCTACAAGGTGGAAACCCCGTTCCTGATGTAAGAAAGTGGAGTTTTCCCTCAATATATAATTAGCCCTAAAGATATACTGTGCACTCAATTGAAGACACCAAATCGCAACCATGCCATTCAGGAGAAAAAGGAAGTCAAAGAAGAGCAAAAGTTACCCAATTCGCTGCATCTGCTTACGGTGGTGGATCTGAGAAACTCAAAATCCCGCTTCAAGCGTTTTGATTCATACCACAAGGCAAAGCCAGCGGTACCCAACATACAACCAATTCCCAGTATCTCAACAATCGATATTTCTGGCGTCTTCCAAACGAACCCAACCATAATGAATGATTTGAGAGTTTTTGGACTGGCAACTAACGTACTAGCAGGCAAGGCAAGTAGTGTTGGAGCAAGGAGTCAAGCTGCAAGTGCCAGGGAATCCGAATCCGAGAAGGAGAAGGATTGGTTTGGCGCCAAGGTTCAAAGTGTGGATTTGAATAAAGAAGAACGGTGTCGTTCTGTTTAATTGGAGTCTGTCTGTTTAGTTGAAACGCTGTCGTGTCTGTTTGGTTGGAGTCAGTCTGTCGTATTGGTTAAATGTCTGTTTAGTACTTGAGTTTGGTAAAGAGTCAGTTTAGTCCATTGTACAGTTATGGTAGAAGAAGAAGTGTAGAGATCATGCTGCTGATTTGCAGGGAGATCGAGTTAGTGGTCAGTGCTGTGAAAGCCAGGTCTGTTGGCTGAAACACAGTGGTATTTAAAGTTGGTTATCAATCTCGAATAAACTGTCAGTTTGCAAATTCTTTGTTCTCACATTGTGGTATCAGAGCACTGAAGCAAACTGTAACCACGAGTGTGATAAAGAGAGTACTGAGTGAAAGCTTCTGGTAATCTGGGTATAGGGAAACACGAGAGATTACAGGTGAGGCTTGTTTTGAGAAGGGGGTGAGAGGAATCTGAGAAGATTGGTGTCAGTTCACCATGACTGACAATGGCAGTGGTGCTCAGGTTTGTATCCCCAAATTTGATGGGGATTATGAACACTGGACTTTACTCATGGAGAATCTTCTCAGATCGAAGGAGTATTGGACTGTAATTAGTCCTGGAATTAGAGAGCCTGCTGAAGGAGAAGTGATTACAGCAGCACAACAGAAGAGTTTGGATGAGTTGAGACTCAAGGATCTCAAAGCAAAGAACTACCTGTTCAGTTCTATTGATAGAACCCTTCTGAAGACAATTGCAAAGAAGGCAACTGCAAAGGAACTGTGGGATTCAATGAAGGAGAAGTTTCAAGGGAGTGCTCGAGTTCAAAAGGCTCAACTTCAGGTACTTAGGAGAAACTTTGAGTTACTTGAAATGAAAGAGGGAGAGTCCATATCAGAATACTTTGGTAGGGTCATGGTAATTGCAAATACTATGAGGAATTGTGGAGAGGATATGCCAGATGACAAGGTAGTTGAGAAAATCTTGAGAACTCTGACTGACAGGTTCAATTATGTTGTGTGTTCTATAGAGGAATCCAAAGATATTGACCTTTTGACAGTGGATGCTCTCCAAAGTTCATTGCTGGTGCATGAGCAGAAGTTCAATAGAAAAACTGCAAAGACTGTAGTTGTAGACGACCAGGCTCTCAGGGCATCTTTTGAGTATGGTAGAGGAGGAAGAGGTCAAGGAAGAGGATATGGAGGTGTAGCAAGAGGTAGAGGAAGGGGAAGAGGCTGGAATAGAGAAGCTGTTGAGTGCTTTAAGTGCCACAGACTAGGGCATTTCAAGTATGAGTGTCCTGATTGGTATAATGGTCCTCAAGCACACTATGCTAACTCCAATCAAGTACAAACCAGGGCTCAAGGAGATATGAAGGATGATATGCTGCTCATGGCCTGTGTTGAATCTGAAAGCTCACTGGAGTTGGAGGAAGAGGCACAAGGACTGATGGCTTTACTTGAAGAAGTGAAGCAAGATAGGCATGAAGACTGGTGGTTCTTGGATTCAGGGTGTAGCAATCACATGACAGGAGACAAGAAATGGTTTACAGAGTTGAATACTGACTCTACAGGTTCTGTCAGACTTGGTAATAACAACAAGCTGGAGGTTGCAGCAAAGGGAAGTGTAAAGATTGAGGTTGCAAATCTGAACATGGTCATCAGTGATGTGTTTTATGTGCCTGGTCTTAAAACAAACCTGTTGAGTATTGGCCAGTTACAGGAGAAGGGCCTAGCATTCTTATTCAAGAATGAATGCTGCAAGATCTTTCATGAGGAGAAAGGGCTACTGCTGCAGACAGAAATGAAGTCAAATAGGATGTTTGTTATACACCCTGAAGATCAGCCAAAAGAACAAGACTTCCAGTGCTTTCAAACTGTTAATGGCAAGGAGAAAGACCTGGAGTTGTGGCATAGGAGATTTGGGCACACTAACATACAAGGATTAAAGCATCTGCAGCAGAAGGGTTTTGTTGTGGACTTACCTGTATTGAGAGGAGATCTGGAGATTTGTGCAACCTGTCTTATTGGTAAGCAACACAGAAAGCCTTTTCCAAAGAAAAGCTTATGGAGAGCAAGTCAGAAACTAGAACTTGTACATGCTGATTTGTGTGGTCCTCTAACACCAGAGTCAAATGGTGGAAAAAGGTATATTTTTACCTTAACTGATGATTTTAGCAGAAAGCTGTGGGTGTATTTCTTAACTGCCAAGTCAGAAACTCTTGAGTGGTTTAAGAAATACAGAACTCAGGTTGAACAAGAAACATGATTAAAAATCAAGTGCTTGAGAACTGACAGAGGAGGTGAGTTCATGCTCACTGAGGTCAGAGAATTGTGTGACCAAGTTGGAATCAGAAGACAACTAACAGCTGCTTTGACACCCCAACAGAATGGGGTAGCAGAGAGAAAGAATAGAACAGTGTTGAACATGGTTAGATGCATGCTGTCAGATATGAAAGTTCCAGCTGCATTTTGGCCAGAAGCAGTGGCCTGGACAACACATGTTCTAAACAGAAGTTCTACAAAAGCAAACAAAGGGAAAACTCCCCAGGAATTGTGGACTGGACATCCTCCTTCTGTTTCACACTTCAGAGTTTTTGGTTGTACTGCCTATGTGCATGTTCCAGATCAGCAGAGAAGGAAATTGGATGACAAGAGTAAGACCTGTCAGTTCCTAGGCATTTCAATTGAGTCAAAGGCATTCAAACTCTATAACCTCAGTACCAAAAAGATTGTGGTTAGTAGGGATGTGGTCTTTGATGAGACTAAAGGATGGAATTGGAATTCTGGGGAGGAACCTGTGCAGACACAATTGTCTTGGGAAGGAAGTGATCAAGACTGGTTTGATTCAGACATAGAAGATGAGGATCCAAAAACACCTGAACCAGTTGTTCCAGCAGCAACAGAACCAGAACAACCCTCTAGTCCTGCAGCAGCAGAAGGATCAGCAGAAGGGGGTGGACATGTCAATGATGATGATGGTGATACTGATGTGGTGGAAACACCAAATGCTGCTCTAGGAAAGAGAATCAGAAAACTACCAGGGCATTTCCAGAATTATGATATGAGCTGTATTACTACTGACTGGGTGGCCATGGTGGCTGTTACTGATGATCCTCAGACGTTCGAGGAGGCAATGCTGGATCCTAAGTGGAATGCAGCAATGCAGGAGGAGATGAATTCAGTTGAGAAGAACCAGACTTGGACTCTCACTACTCTCCCAGAAGGCTTTGAGGCTATTGGTCTGAAATGGGTGTATAAAACCAAACTGCAAGAAGATGGCAGAATTGACAAGTTCAAAGCTAGAATTGTGGCCAAAGGGTACTCCCAGAAGGAAGGAATAGACTACACTGAGGTTTTTGCTCCAGTAGCTAGATGGGACACCATCAGAACCTTCTTAGCACTGGCAGCATATCATGGCATCACAGTCTACCAACTGGATGTCAAGAGTGCTTTTCTTAATGGAGAGCTCACTGAGGAGGTTTATGTGGAGCAACCACCAGGGTTTGTGGTTGCTGGGGAGGAAAATAAGGTTTACAGGCTGCACAAAGCACTCTATGGCCTCAAGCAGGCACCTAGAGCTTGGTATAATAGGATAGAATCCTATTTTGTTCAGTCTGGGTTTGAGAGGAGTCCCTATGAGCATACTCTTTTTGTCAAGAAGGCTGGAACTAGTATTCTGATTCTGAGCTTGTATGTAGATGATCTGATGTATGCAAGCAATGATGATGAAATGCTTGCTGAATTCAAGCAAGCAATGCAATCCGAGTTTGAAATGACAGATCTGGGAAGGATGCATTATTTTTTGGGAGTTGAGGTTAGCCAAAAGGAATCTGGAGTGTTCATCAGTCAACAGAAGTATGTCAAAGAGCTGCTGGCAAAGTTCAATCTCTCAGGCTGCAATCATGTACTTAATCCTATGACCCCTGGATGCAAATTGAACAAAGCTGGAGATGGAGTGTTGGTGAGTCCTACAGAATACAAGCAGCTGATTGGAAGCCTGCTGTATGTAACAGCAACCAGACCTGATATCATGTACCCAGTCTGTTTTCTCAGCAGATTTATGGAACATCCAACTCGACAACACATGTTGGCTGCCAAGAGGGTGCTAAGATATCTAAAAGGAACTGTGAATTTTGGGATCTGGTACAAGAGAAAAGGGGAGGAAGAGGAGGAGTTGTTAGGCTATACAGACAGTGACTATGCTGGTGATACTGATGACAGGAAGAGCACAGGAGGTTATGTGTTTTTTCTGTCAGGGGGAGTCATCTCATGGGCTTCCAAAAAGCAACCAGTGGTTGCTCTGTCCACCACAGAGGCAGAATTTGTTGCTGCAGCTCACTGTGCTGCACAAAGTGTTTGGCTTCGAAGGATTCTGGAGCAGATGGGATGGGGGCAAAGTGTGAAGAAGGCCACAACTATTATGTGTGACAACAGTTCAGCAATCAAACTGTCAAAAAATCCAGTTCTCCATGGGCGCAGCAAACATATTGATGTGAGGTTTCACTTTCTGAGGGAGCTGGCAAATGAAGGAGTGGTTGAGTTGGAGCACTGTGGTACACAGGAACAGGTTGCAGACATTATGACAAAACCATTGAAGTTGGAAGTGTTTCAGCTGCTGAGGAGCAAAATGGGATTGTGTGATGTGTCAGAGGTCTCTATTGAACATTGAATATTGAGGCATGTGAACTGAACGAAGTTGAGAGGGTTCGGTTCAGGGGAGGATTTGTTGGAGCAAGGAGTCAAGCTGCAAGTGCCAGGGAATCCGAATCCGAGAAGGAGAAGGATTGGTTTGGCGCCAAGGTTCAAAGTGTGGATTTGAATAAAGAAGAACGGTGTCGTTCTGTTTAGTTGGAGTCTGTCTGTTTAGTTGAAACGCTGTCGTGTCTGTTTGCTTGGAGTCAGTCTGTCGTATTGGTTAAATGTCTGTTTAGTACTTGAGTTTGGTAAAGAGTCAGTTTAGTCCATTGTACAGTTATGGTAGAAGAAGAAGTGTAGAGATCATGCTGCTGATTTGCAGGGAGATCGAGTTAGTGGTCAGTGCTGTGAAAGCCAGGTCTGTTGGCTGAAACACAGTGGTATTTAAAGTTGGTTATCAATCTCGAATAAACTGTCAGTTTGCAAATTCTTTGTTCTCACATTTAGTAGGTGTATATATATATATATGCCAGCCGTCTGCGCCAACCCAAATACGTGTAGGACAAGGACCGTTCAATCCAACCAGGAACCAAAGATCATAATCGACAAAGGAAAGAAAAAGAAGAAAAAGCCTGCCACGTCAGCTACTCTCCGTCCCCGGCTGGCCCTGGGTGTACGTTTCCTTGTTTCCGTCCTCGATCGTTCGGCAGACTCTCACTGAAATAGATTTAGAACCCTACTATTGATCTTATTGATTGTATGTTTATATACAGAAACAATAGCAACAGTCTAGCTGAAACACAGCAGCACGTACAGCAACTAAACTACAATTCAGGAAGTGGTTGAACGGAAACGTAACAGCATGCTGAAGGAAAGGAACAGAGAGAGGTGGCCGTTTGCTGAAGCCGTTGAAGATGTCATCGTGGGCTTGGGCTGATGCCTTATCACGCCCCCGCAAGTGGAGACTCGGAGAGGTGGAACTTGGAACAGTATTGCCGAAATGGAATGCGAGTGAGAGGCTTGGCAAGCACGTCTGCGAGCTGATCAGTAGCGGGAATGTAACGAACTTGTAGTTGACCTTTGAACACGCGATCACGGACAAAATGGAACTCGATTTCCATGTGCTTTGAACGACTATGGAAGACGGGATTGTGAGCTAAATATGTAGCTCCAAGATTATCACACCATAACACAGGGGGAGCAGATAAGTGCTGGCCGAGTTCGGACAGCAAAGCCTGGAGCCAAATAACCTCAGAGGCTAGGGTCGCAAGAGCACGATATTCACATTCCGTTGAGGAGCGAGAGACAGCCTTCTGTTTACGAGTGAACCAGGAGATCAAGTTGGTGCCGTAGAACACGGCAAAACCAGTGATGGACTTCTGATCCCGTGGTGAAGAAGCAAAGGAAGCATCAGAGTAGCCGTGTAATTGAGGGGAGCTAGAGCGTGAGAAACTCAATCCGTGTGTGAGAGTACCTTGTAAGTAGCGTAATATGCGTTTGACGGCCGACCAATGTACGTCAGTAGGAGCATGCTGAAATTGAGACACATGGTTGACAGCAAAAGAGACATCCGGTCGAGTAAAACTCAGGTATTGAAGACCACCGACTATGCTGCGATAAAGACCTGGATCGGAGAAGGCAGGAGAATCATCTGTAGCACTTTGGAGAAGCTGGTCCGGTGTACAAGGAGTGGAAATGGACTTTGCTTCAGCCATACCAGCACGTTTGAGGAGGTCCATAACATATTTGCGTTAGTTGAGCAATAAACCATGAGCATGATGATGCACCTCGAGGCCAAGGAAGTAAGATAGGCAGCCAAGATCTCGCAAGGTAAAGCGAGATTGTAGATGGCGTAGAAGCCGGTCAAGCAGAGCCGAATCAGAGCCTGTAAGGACCATATCGTCGACATATACCAGTGTGTAGAGAGTAACAATGCTAGTCTTGTAAATGAACAGAGACGGATCAGTTTTAGATGCAATAAAACCAAAATCAAACAGAGCCGCCGAAAGACAATGAAACCAAACCCGAGGTGCTTGACGCAGTCCATAAATTGATTTTCTGAGGCGGCAAACATGATGGGGTCTTTCAGGATCAACAAAACCTCGTGGCTGTAGCATATAAACCTCGTCGGGAAGACTTCCATGAAGAAAAGCATTTGAGATATCAAGCTGACGCATAGGCCAAGATTGAGAGACGGCGATACCAAGAATCAGACGTAAAGTGGCTGGCTTAAGGACCGGGCTGAAAGTCTGAGTAAAGTCACGCCCTGGAATTTGTTCGAAGCCACGAGCAACCAGCCGTGATTTTTGGCGTTCGATGGTACCGTCGGGATGAGTCTTCAGAGCATAAACCCACCGATTGGAAATGGGTCGGCAGTGGCGGGGTGACAACGAAGAAGAAAGAAGAAGAAAAATCAGGTGAAGGGAAGGAGACTCGCTAGAGTTTAAGAAGCTCTGATACCATGAAATAGATTTAGAACCCTACTATTGATCTTATTGATTGTATGTTTATATACAGAAACAATAGCAACAGTCTAGCTGAAACACAGCAGCACGTACAGCAACTAAACTACAATTCAGGAAGTGGTTGAACGGAAACGTAACAACATGCTGAAGGAAAGGAACAGAGAGAAGTGGCCGTTTGCTGAAGCCGTTGAAGATGTCATCGTGGGCTTGGGCTGATGCCTTATCACTCACTTCTTCCTTTCCCACCTTCCCGCGTCGCTTTTACCGAGACCCCTCTATGCTGTCGAAACTGTGGTTCTGCACTGAACGTTCCAAAACAAAGATGAATCAAGCAATAGGGAAAACGAGACTCCACCAGTTCTCTACCTTCATAAACACCACTCTCCCGCCTTTTACATTGGAGTCTCGACGAAGCGCCGGCGATACCGGTAATCGTTTTGATTTCTCTTCTACGGCAACGGAGGCACACAGGAATGAGGGACGAGAGGTTCGTAGACGATGTGAACAGAGAAATCGAGGAAGCGGCGTATATTAGGATTTTTTTTTACCTGAACTCCTAACTAAACGAAATGACCATTTTACCCTTCATTCTAAAATTAACCTAACACCAAGGTTGTCAAACCGGTTTATACTTTATACCGTTGCGCTGATTTAGCAATTGAAATGGTTCGACCGGTAAGTGTCGTTTCATGCCGATTTAACAAAATATGTAATAATGTGAAAAGCCATTAACATCAATTGAATATAATCATATATAAAACATATTTGAAGATAATTTGACATACAATCCACATTCACATTTAAATAAAAGACAACATTTCAAATAAAATAACAAGCACTCATATTAAAATACAATATTTAATACCTAAAGGCTTATACTTAAATTCAACAAATAACATCAACACTTAACTTTTAAATTTGTAAAATAAATAATAAATTAATTTTTTATTAATTACATTCACTAACGATATCATTTTGCTTAAAGGTCATAAATCGATCATGTCGGTCATACCGGGATGTTCACGTTGGTTTCATGAATGAGGACTGTTGAACCAGGTTCAATCGGCCTGTACGCTACCGGCGTGACAACCATTCCTAACCCTAAAACAATCCCTGTCCACCCCTTTACTCCCCTCTTCTTCTCTTTCCCTGTCTTTGCTCCCAGCCACCGATAACCGGACCCCTTGCTTGGTGAACCTGATGAGCAACTTGACTAGTTGGGCACATATGGTGACATGGTTGGACATGTTCGTCATTTGTTCATCAAGTTTAGACGACATAGACCGTACCACATGTTTACCTTCTAGTTGTTTATGTGTACTGTTGGGACTTTTTTTTTTGGAAAAGAAGTTCGTTTAGATTACGACTGGGCTCAGCCTAAAAAAGAAATGTACAAGCTACAATGTAATAGGATTAAAAGAAAGACCCAAACAACAAGGCCCCAAGACAAACCCAGAACCCAATAGGGCTCGAGCTCAGGACCAAAACAAGAAGGACCCTTCCCAAACTGTAACACAAGAGCCCCCTCTACTTCCTTCGCCCGCCGCGATCGGTGACCATCTCTGCAACCAAACCAGCACCGCCCTAAAACAGGGAGCCCCATTGATGATTGCATTCATTTACATAACAATAAACAAGATCACAACCTAATACAATCAATTTCAACTAGCTATATAGAGGACAAGGAAGGTACCACCATTGATGATGACAACATTTTCCTAGCTGCATACCCTCTACTTCGACTAGACTAGACACTCGTGTAGAGTGTTACAGAGATTTGTGTGTTTGTGCATCCTTACTTTTACAATGGAGTCATGCCCTATTTATAGGGGAGAATCCGGCCTAAAATATCCTAAACCGACTAGGAAAGAGTCTCATAAACCTTATGGGCTAAGTAAACTTCTTCCACAATGATGAGTATTGGCGGCGGTAGGGCTGTGGTTGGACCCATCGATATTTTTCTTCGTGGGCTGGGCTCCTTTGGCATTGGACGAATCCTCCTTTCAATTTGGGTGCGTCTTGAAGTGTCATTGGGTAGCGAAGGTTGGACCAGTTGTTGGGCCGCCTCTCGTTCTTTCTTCAGCTTGGGCCGATTCTTCCTCTTACGGGCTTGTCTTAGGCTTATTAAGTGACTTCTAGTTGACTTCTTCGTCATTGGACCTCTTCTTTATCATGAAAGCTCCTTAATCTTCTCTTTATAGCTCCTTTGGTCCTCTAGAGTTCTTCAATGCTTGATCCAAACTTCTTAGGTTGCTTTGTACCTTCAAAACCATAAAAAAAACATGCCAAGAAGGCATCAAAGAGTACCATAACATAGCCTAGGTTTATTAAAAGCTCATTGGTCAAATAGTTGTGATTTAGATACGAAATTCCATTGAAATGACCAAAAAAGCTTTGATGGAAGGGAAAATGTATAAAAAATGGGAATGATAAACACTATAAATAAAGTGTCATCGACCATCTATTTGGATGAAAATTTAACTAATGTAAACAGTTTACAAACCAAGAAGTATTAATACACCTCAAAGATTAGAATGCTGCTAACCTACACGGGTAGTTCGCTATATCATTCTCATGTTCTGATTTTTTCTACTCCTCTATGCTGATCGTGTCCTCGCATGTTTATGACTTATATTCGGTCGGTTACCGGTTAAATCGATAACCGACCAACTGGTTAACGGTATACGTACAGCTGCGAAGTGGAGATCGGCAACCGCTATCGGGTGCTAATCGATTAACCGGTAACTGAACAGGTGGTTAGCTGTTATCAACCGGTCATACTGAGAAACCGACAAAAAGACGCATGCGTACATTTTAACCCTATTAACTGGCAAATAACCGAACCGACGAAGCTGGGTTGGCCTAATTTTTTGGTGTTTTTTTCAATTTTTTTTAGAGATCGAGTGGCGATCTGGATCTTGACGGCAGCGGCGAGTGCAGGGGCTAGCCGGCTGGGAGATGAGGAAAGGAGGAGAAGATTCGTCGCCATCGACTAGGGGAGAGGAAGATCTATTCATTACCGGCGAACGGGGAAGAGGAAGATCACCAGAAACCGCCTCATCCTCTAAATCGACGGTGGAGTTTTAACAATCCGACGGCGGCGGCGACTCTCTCTGAGTGGTGTAATGGCTGGCGACTCTTCCTCTCTGGCCGTCTCTGTGAGAGTCAGATCTGGGTGGCAGCGGAACAAAATGAGGCATGTAGGGGGTGGGTCGAAGCTCCAATGGGTTATTAGGAGTTAGGGTTAGTCTTGCGGTGGATGGAAATTGGGGAGATGGGCTTTGGCGGTGGATGTGATGGAGGAGGAGAGATTGTTGGATGCTTATGAAGAGGGGAAGAAGGTGAAAAAGACAGATCTGGTGGTGGTTATCTTGGAGGGAGATGAGAAGACAAAGAGAGGATCAACATAAAGGGGGTTGCCTATTTGTTTGTCTCGGTATCCCGGTAAATGGGTAACTATCGGTATTTAATCGAAAAATATCTGGTATACCGTTTGAGCTATGAAGTCTACCGCCAACTGGTACTGCCGGTTAACAGTATAACTGACAAACCGATTACCACGCCTACTCATGTTTAAATCAATAAGGATATTGAGCATTCTGCTCCATAGGTGGTCATCCCTTTGGAGCCTCTGACTCCCTAGGCTGTAGTCGGCCTTCGACTTGTGGAAGAATATGAGGACATAGTAATTGAGATGCCTTCTAGATGGCATCTAGTCCTTTCCTGTACACATCCTCCATTATGGATGCAAAATGCACGTCCAATGGCATCATGGTCTTCCCATTCTGCACGATATGCAGGACTCTCATACACCAAATATGAACATAATCGATGTAAGTGGTGGGGTGAAATTCCATGCCGACATCACTATATTCATCCATCTTACATTTAGATGGTAGACCATGTGTCTCAGGTAGCTGACATTCACATCACAGAACAATTTCCCTTATTTGTTCTTCCATTAACAACTCAATTGCCTACAAGCTTGCTTCCGTATTCTAGTTACCATATGGAGGTTCGTAGGCTAATGCAAATACCTATTCCATATATGAATTTCTAAGTCAAAATCAAATTGAGTATACAGGGGAATACCAACTTAAATAAAGCAAAACAAACATACCTTCAAACGCAGTCCTTTATCAACTCAATAACTTTTTCCTCAATTGATGTGTGAAATCTGAGGAAGAGTGTATCAATTTTGTGGGTCGAAGTGGCAAGCCATCTCTTCAAGGATGAATGAGTTGAGTCTATCCTATTTGTGCTCGTGATCCCAATATGAAAAACACGAATGGTTAGCAATTAGCCCACCTTCACGCGCAGGATATCCACTCACCTCTCAAGTAGTTCATGAACGATCCATTTGTACCCCAATGACTATTTTTCATGTGTAGCCAATGTCGTTGGAACCCTGCCACAGTATTGGCATTCAAGACTCTCCCACATGGACCTTCTACAAATATCTCGGCAATATCATAACTCATCCCGATAGACATCATTTTGGCTTCAATGTTCCTCTTCATGTGCCACACACATAGTGTAACACCTTAGGCAAATCCCACATCGACAAAGCACGGGAGAGATCCATGGTTCATAAGTAAGAAACCTACCTTAACTGACAAGACACATTTTGGGGTGAAATGGAGGAGTTCTTGTGAGAACTCCGAAGTTAAACGTGCTCAGTGTGGAGTACAACAAGGATGGGTGACCTTATGGGAAGTCACCCTGAATTGCACCCCAAGTCGAAATCCGTGCGGGTGTAAAGGCCCAAAGCGGACAATATCTTGTTGAGAAAAGGTTCGGGATGTTACACATAGTAAATGAGCCAAAGATGAAAAGATCTATTGTAAGGAGACACCCAACCCTCCTTCCTTATCGATGACGAATGCATCCGGTATTCTATCACTAAGCACAAACTTTAATTGCATCAAAACCCAAACATATGTCTCCTTCATCTCATCTGACACAAATGGGAACCTAGTGTCGGAGTTCTTCTTCAACGGACTTGTTGGTCTTCTTCAAAACACCAATCATCTGAAGCAGTGGTTGCTTGTACTTGTTGGTCTTGTACATCGAGTCTATCAAAATAAAGAAATACCATGCGCTCAACATCTAAATTGACTCCCAATGTCAAAGGAAGAGTCTAGTAACACGACGCTCATCATCAAATTCACACTCAATGAAGTAGACTAGATGTTCAACTTTTATCGATCTGCACTGCATAGGTTTCATGCCACCCAATCTTTCATGCCTAATCTTTGTTGTCTCGTTATAAATCCGAGTCATATTGTGATGAACATCTACTTACTACTAAGAAAACTCCTGATATCTATCGCCTGAGTATGTGTTGTCTGATGGCACTTTATTTATAGTGTTTGTCATTCCCATTCTTGATACATTTCCCCCTTCTATTAATACATATTTAGTCATTCCAATGATATTTCCTGTCTAAATCACAACTATCGAAGGTATTTCCCCTTCTATCAATACATTTTCCCCTTCTTGTACTATTAGATGCCTTATGGGTATGTTTTTTTAATGATTTTAAAGGTGCAAAGCAACCTAAGGAAGACTGGATAGAGCATTCAAGAACTCTGGAGGAACGAATGAGATATAAAGAGAAGTTTAAGGAGTTTTCACGAGAAAGAAGTAGTTCAATGACGGTGAAGTCAACTAAAAGTTGTTAGATTATGACCTCTATTTGCACAATAGATCCACAGCTTGTCCGTCTGTTTTGACTTTATGTTGCTCACTCCGGGACATCAAGAGAAGCCCACAGGAAGAAGAATCGTCTCAATCTGAAGAAGGAATGAGCAACTACCCAACCGACGCTCTACCAGCGCCTTCCCTTTTCCTTATTGACGAAGTTTCCTTAGTCTACTAGGTTTAGGAGACTCTTTCCGAGTCATTTTAGGATGTTATAGGTCGGATCATCCCGTGTGAATAGAGGGCATGACTCCATGTAAAAGTAAGGATGCGCAAGCACACAAATCTCTGTAACACTCTACACAAGTGCCTAGTCTAGTTGAAGCAGAAGGGTCTGCAACTAAGGAGATGTTGTCATCAGCAATGGTGGTACCTTCCCTGTCCTCTATATAGCTAGTCGAAATTGATTGTATTAGATTGTGATCTTGTTTATTGTTTTGTAAATAAATGTCATGATTTTATCTCATGCTTGTGTTTGTCTATGAATTTCGATGCCTATGACTATGTATGGATACTCTCTTATATTCAATGCTTATGATGGTCATTGATGTTTTTATAGTATGAATGCCCTTAATAGCATCGATGCTTATGATTCCATTGTATGCTACTATATGCATTATGCTTAGTATTGCCTAGATTATCAAGAAATTACCTTCTAGGGATACCCAATGATGCTACACCAGTAGAGATGGAATGATCAACCATCTATATTTCGAGTAGTATCAATGCTTGATTGTTACATCGTCGATGCTTTAGAATATGGTTATGGTTCTTATAAGCCAACATTAGCCTGATGCTATCCCAACTTCCTTGTTCTTCATTAATTAGGTAATGACATGAAAAGAAAACACACATTAGCTAGTTAGATCTCTATTGTAAGAGGCACATGCACGGGTAGAGAATGAACTTAGAGGAAGGGATAAGGTGTATCAATAGATGAACCATCGATGCATGATGTGAATGAGCCCTAGATTGCCTGATTATCTTTTATTTCACTACCTCTTACAATAACGTATCTTTGCTTTTGTGCATCTATAAATCCAAAAATCCCTAAACAACTTTATTCTTCTAGTTTGTTAGTTCAATTTGTGTATGTCATGATGGTTGGTTTGAGTAGTTTTGCATTATCAGACCTCGAGAAATATGATCATAGGTAGGGGTGGGCATCGGTTCGGTTCGGTCAAAACCGAACCGAAATGTAACATACCGGGTTTCCGATTCAGTCTAAGGTGCAAACCGAATTCGAAACGAAATATAATTCGGTTCGGTTTGACCGAACTGAATTATATTCCGGTTAGGTTCGGTTTTCAGACACAAACCAAAATATGCAAGGCACATTTTCAGAGATGGAAAGAAGGGGCCCTCTTTCATTTCAAGCCACTCAAATATTTGTTAATCCAACCAAAACGAGAAACAAATCTCTTTATCCTTTATCTCTCTTTCTTCTCAATGTGCTTCTCCTCTCCCTTACTTCTCCTTACCAGAAACAAAACCTACTTTCTTCCATCTCTCGCTATTTCCTTTTCCTTTTCTTGAAAGACCATCGACATAAAAAGAAAAGGAGAGAAGCAGCAGTAGCCTGAAGGAGAAGAAGCAGGGACCTAGGGGAGGAAAGAGAGAGTTGGAGAGGTAGAGATCCAAAAGGTGGGGTTTTTAGAGGAAGAACGAGGTTGGGCAGATCTATTCTGGGTTCAGACTCAAAACCGCTGGTCTTGTTCTCCAATCTTCAGCAGCAGGAGTACAACATCACCGCCATCCTCGACGGTCCGATTAAGCTACGGATTCGAGCTTTGAAGCCAGCGACCGCAACGGCGAGGGAGATTTCGACTTTTGCTCTGCTTCGGTCGTGGTGAGATGAAAGCAGGTGGGCGAGTGCCGGAATGCAGGTGGGCGAGCGCCGAGCGGCTGGACGACATGCAATGGAGACTCTTGTCTTGTATCTTTCTGTTATTTCTTAGGGTTAGGAAATATGAAAGCCGAGAAGAGAGTGTGAGGGAAAGCGGTGGGCTGGGGGGAAAGATTTGGGCCAAGGCCCTTGGACAGGTGGGCTGAGCAGTGAGGTAAGATACATGGGTTGGGTAATTTTTCGGTTTTTCGGTTCGGTAATCGGAATCTCGGTTCGGTCAATAAGAGTCTGTTTTCCGAACTAAGCACATTTCCTTTCCGATTTCCGAACCGAATAACTTTAATTCGGTTTCGGTTCGGTTGTAATCGGTTTCGGGTCGGGTCGGTTCGGGTTTACCGAACCGGATGCCCACCCCTAATCATAGGGCATCCTAGGACTTTTATCACATGCATGTTATTAAGCATAAAATTTTTGGCGTCACTACCAGGGATTTCTAATCATATATAAAATCATCCAACCATCTTATTTCTAGTATTGATTCTTTTTTGTTTTATAGGTTTTCGTATGAGTCCATTAAGTACTAGAAGAAAAACTTAAACCCTAAAGATCATGGAAGAGATACTTCGAGAAATAGGAGAATCGAGTTCACCCATCTTGAAGACGAAGGAAGGAGAATCTAGCTCAGGAGAAGAAGAGCCATCAAGCTCTACCAGTTTCGCGCAAGCCTTAGAAGAGGATGACAACATAGACGAAGACAAATTCGATTCGAAGGAAGAAGGAGCATCTTCAACACAAACAAGGGCTGGAGAAGAAGGAAAAAGACAAGTGACCGTTCCACCAACTCTTTACGAGTACATAAGGCAAGAACATCCAACATCACCTCAAGCATTATTGCGCCACCTATAACCATAGAGATGAGAACTCAACTCATCTAGATGGTGCAACAAGAAGGGAATTTTGGAGTCATGAATGATGATGATCTGGTGCAACACTTGAAGTCATTCTTAGAGATTGTTGATTCTATACTAGGAGATTATGCTACCAAAGATGTAATTCGACTACAAGTTTTTGCATTCTCACTACGTGGAGGAGCAAAGCAGTGGCTCGACTACCATCCACCAGGAACCTTCACCACATGGGAGACCCTTTCTCAAGCATTCATTGAGGAGTACTTTCCAACATGGAAGACAAGAGAGCTTAAAAATGAGATTACTCAATTTCAACAGAAGGAATGAGAGAATTTCTATGATGCTTGGAGGAGATTCCATAAGTATATCAAAGCATGCCCCCCATTATAGATTCACACTAGAGATAATTGCAAAGTACTTCGCCAAAGGGCTTGATCGAGACACCAGGATTATGGTAAACCAGTCGGCTGATGGAGATTACATAACAATGAAGGGAATGCAATTCCAAGAGCATTTCGCCACACTAGCAAAGAAGTCAATTAAGAAATGATCTAAGCATCCATCAACGACTAAACAATTGAAAGTTGCTCAAGAAAGGGAGTATGATGTCGCCACCCTCTATGCATACATGAAAAAGCTCACTCGGCATCTAAGAAAGACTTCAACTGAGCCAAATAATGGATTGGCGGCATCCTTGTTCATATGTGAAGCATGTGGCAAAGAAGGGCATAAATGATTCGAATGCTATTGCCAAAAAGGTCAAGGACATTGTTGAATTCAATTATATTAATCAAGCCTATCAATCAAGACCTCAAATAATATCACCCTAGGGAGGTGATTGATCAGAATCAGCACAGCTTAGACTCCAATTCGAATTGATTGAGTCCCTTCCTTGCTCCTGAAGAAACAGAACACCAAAACCAGTCTAGCTAGCTAGTTTAGAGCTCAAGAAAAGGTGGAATCTGAGAGTTTCTTCACACCTGGGAAGAAGCACTAGAGATATGTGGTTGTCTTCGAGTAACTGAGGGTGGAAGACTTAGTTAATAGACTCAAATCAACTAGGTTTGATCGCAACCAAAACCTAAGATCAACAATCAACTCGCAAGTTGTCAAATTTTGGGGTTTTCTATTCAATTGCAATATGAATATTCCAAGGTAAAATCCAAGGCTTTTATAGGCATAAGCTAACTCTAATAAACATACACAAACTGAAAAGGAAGACTAAATCAACAAGGAAACTGAAATACAAGTGTAATCCTTATAGAACTAGGAATCCGAATGGCATTCGGATTACTTGGCAGTGTCGATACCATCTTCTCACGTCTAGCAGATGGCCTTCCAGTTTGATTCGATTTCATCCAATACCTTGTCATTGTAGAAGGAAACTCCCTCTTTCTCCTCAAACTCGAATCAGCTTGAGATCATCTCCCAAGCTCCAGTTATGGCTCTTCACAGTTAGCATCCTGAAACAGTTTCCTGCCTTAGCCAAATTTAGGCAGTTTTCAGGATTCTTCATAGCATCTTGTTGGACTTGAAAAACACTCTTCCGGTCATTTCCTCGAGCTCCACGACATACCAATCGAAAGATAAAGTTTTGAACTTCAAATTGAGACCTTGAACCCACATTTTCATCGATTGGTTTGAGAGATATGAGCTCCCAAAGTAGGCACTTCGGACTCGACCCAACACTTGGCCATTTTCCTTCCTTCTTCTTCCAAGCTTCACTTCCTTCTTCCTCAAGCAATTTCATCTTCAAGATTGACCCAATTGGGCTCATATCAGGCCCCCCTTGTAGAAAAAGCTTTCCCCTCAAAGCTTGAGCTGCTCTTCGATCATAAACTTCACAGAACTGCCTCCAGATGGGGATGAAAGTGAGCTCCTCGAAACCTCTGTTGTGGAAATTAGGCCTTTGTTCTTCAGTTCCTGAATTGGGGATTTCTTCTCTGGGTATCTCCAGGCCAATTCATGGGCACCATAGGATTCGTCAGCCTTTGAATCGAACTTCTGGATAGGTCCCGTGCTTCGAATCATCGTGTGCATCAACGACGATCCCATTCTTTCTTTCCCGCCATCGTCGTTGTTTAAATTTTCCAAGCCCAAAAATCCTAATCGAAAATTGGGGCTTTTTTATTCGGGCTTCGTCGGGATGATTGGATTACTCCGAAAGCTTCCTTGGACACAGACGAATGTTTTGGCATCAACCACCTGTGTTGAATCATGCCCAATCGTTCGAACCAATTCGCACGATTTCTGGTCATGTTTGCCCGTGTTCAGGGCACTTCTGGCTCAAATCTGATGTTGCAATCCGGCTATCGTCGTACCAAACCAACTGGTTTTTGAGCTTCCCGACAGAATTTGGGACGTGCATGCAGTCTTCTCAGGCTTCGACTCTTCATCGGATGCTCCGACGAGATGCCCCTCTCTCCTGCTCTGCTCTGCCGGCAACACGAGCCAGGACTGACTTTCTTCAGCCGGAATCTGCACTAGTGCTCGTCTCAGGGTAGTCAGCACTAACCTCCGATCTATCAAACTCGCGCCTTCATCTTTCTCCTGCTTTTCTTTGTTCCGATTCGCGTCCAATTGTCGTTGATCGATTCTGAATTCGGCCGCAGATAGTGGACTCAACTTCAGTTTCTTTCCGTCGAGCTTGAACGTGTAACAATTTGTCCGGCCATGGTGAGTTACACCTCGGTCGTATTGCCACGACCTTCCCAGAAGAAGATGCGCCACGTGCGTCGGAGCCACATCGCACAAAATGCGATCTTTGTACTGGTCAATCTGGAAATCGACCCAGGCTTATTTTGTTACCTTCACTGCACCGTGATCGTTGAACCAGTGGAGGCTATACGGCTCGTGATGCTTCAGGATGCTCAGGCCGAGCTTCTTTACTGTCTCCAGGCTGATGACGTTCGTGCAGCTGCCGCCGTCATCACCAGAGAAGTTGTTTTCCCCTGAATTGTACAACGGGAGTGAAACAAATTGTCCCGTTGCTGGGTTTCTGCCATTTCTTCCATTGTGAGAGCTTGTCGATTGACAAGCAAGGACCCTCTTGGAGTTTCCATTTCGATCGATTCATCGATCTCTTCATCCTTCTCTTCCCGTTCGGGCGTCTTGTCCTCCTCTTCATCTTCCAATTCTCCTTCCCTCAAGATCATAATTGTCGGATTCGAACATTGAAAGGACTTATGCCCTTTCCCTCCGCAATTGAAGCATTCGATCTTGCTCACCGGGCCTCCAGCACGCTCTTGGTCGCTTTGGGAAACCATCGGCTTCGGATTTGGTGGTCGAATTGCGGTCGGAGACACGATCGGAGTTGACTCGGCCGGACTGCTCAGTCTGGGTGCTGAAAACCAGCGTCCAGAGTTCTGCTTTAGCAGCCTCTCGATCTTCATTGCCAAGTGGATGACTTCATCCAAATCAACAAAATGTTGAAGCTCTAGCTCATACCTGATCTCTTTGTTTAGTCCGTAGAGAAATTGTGAAATGGTTGCCTCGGAATCTTCTCGGACGTCTGCTCTGGTCAGAAGCAGTTTGAGTTCCTTGTAGTATTCGTCGACAGATTGGCAAATTTCTTGCAGGGATTCGTGCAATTCCCTCCAGTAATATGCAGGCATGAACTTCTCTCGCATCATCCCTCTCATGTCCTCCCAATTCGTCACCGGGGCTTGCAAGTTTCGTCGTCGTCAGACTTGGACATATTCCCACCAAGTTGCGGCGTAGTCCTGAAACTCGTACGTTGCGAGCAGGACCTTCTGATTCTCCGTGTACTGGCCGCATTGGAAGAACAACAGGATTTTGCGCTCCCAATCCAGGTAAGCCGAAGCACTATTGGTGCCGTGAAACGTAGGAATCGTCAGTTTAATTCCCCGTAGCTCCGACATCGGATTTTCTTCACCATCGTGCTCGTACCGGCGATTCTCGAACGGTCATCGATTCCTTAGTGGCCGGTCATCATGTGGGATCTCCAGAGCCATCAGTTGGCGTTCCAAGCCCTGAACACGCTTTGCGAGGACTCGATCGGCTTCTGGATTTCGATTTCCGGTGGTGCCTCCAAATTTCTCAGCGACGGGAAATTGACCTAAGTCCATACTCGATTTGGATTTGCTGCCGTTTCGCTAGGCTGTTGCCTTTCGCCTTGACCTAGATCTTCCACTCTTTGGTTGAGATTGTCGAATTTAGTCGACAATTCTTTAAACTTTTTGTCCTGTCTGTTCATCTGGGTCTGGAACAAGGCAACTACCTGTTCCTGGAAAAACTGCTACAGTTCAGGCATTGTAGTGGCGCGGCCTTCCCCCATTGCGCCTTTTGCTTCGTTGATGGTCGTCAGGGTAAGGATTTTGGGTGATTGCAGGGACGTTTCCGCCGTCTGCTTCTTCTTCTTCCTTTCTGACAGTAGCATGGGCTCCTCTGAAACAGGGCCTCGTGACTGGGGCTCTGATACCACTTAATATCACCCTAGGGAGGTGATTGATCAGAATCAGCACAGCTTAGACTCCAATTCGAATGAATTGAGTCCCTTCCTTGCTTCTGAAGAAACAGAAAAGGTGGAATCTGAGGGTTTCTTCACACCAGGGAAGAAGCACTCGAGATATGAGGTTGTCTTCGAGTAACTGAGGGTGGAAGACTCAGTTAATAGACTCAAATCAACTAGGTTTGATCGCAACCAAAACCTAAGTTCAACAATCAACTCGCAAGTTGTCAAATTTTGGGGTTTTCTATTCAATTGCTATCTGAATGTTCCAAGGTACAATCCAAGCCTTTTATAGGCATAAAATAACTCTAATAAACGTAGACAAACTGAAAAGGAAGACTAAATCAACAAGGAAACTGAAATACAAGTGTAATCCTTATAGAACTAGGAATCCGAATGGCATTCGGATTACTTGGCAGTGTCGATACCATCTTCTCACGTCTAGCAGATGGCCTTCCAGTTTGATTCGATTTCATCCAATACCTTGTCATTGTAGAAGGAAACTCCCTCTTTCTCCTCCAACTTGAATCAGCTCGAGATCATCTCCCAAGCTCCAGTTATGGCTCTTCAAAGTTAGCATCCTGAAACAGTTTCGTGCCTTAGCCAAATTTAGGCAGTTTTCAGGATTCTTCATAGCATCTTGTTGGACTTGAAAAACACTCTTCCTGTTATCTCCTCGAACTCCACGACATACCAATCGAAAGATAAAGTTTTGAACTTCAAATTGAGACCTTGAACCCACATTTTCATCGATTGGTTTGAGAGATATGAGCTCCCAAATTAGGCACTTCGGACTCGACCCAACACTTGGCCATTTTCCTTCCTTCTTCTTCCAAGCTTCACTTCCTTCTTCCTCAAGCAATTTCATCTTCAAGATTGACCCAATTGGGATCATATCATCAACAAGGTAGCTATGATCCTGATCAAAGATCCAACCAACCTCGCATACCATATGACCAATGGCCTGTTCCAGGAGGGAAGAAGCCCGATGATTACTTCAATATCACCTCTACCAATGCGCCCTATGTCCATGAAGCATAATTGCAAAAGAAACCAATACAACCTCAATACAAGGGATAAGGAGAAGGGATTGCAAATGAGCTACAAGAATATTGAAAGACAAATTTCACTCCTAATCGATGGTCAACCTCAATAGCCTCAAAGCAACCTCCCGAACAACACAGAAAACAATCTAAAGAAGGAGGAAGTGAAGGTAATCTCGGTTAGGATGAGAGCAAGCAAAAATTTCTCAAACATTGATTGATATAATTGACATTAGCACAACAAAAGGGTGGTCACCTATTCTGCAGATACTTCAAAAAGGAAAATCATGCCATACAAGACTACTGGAAATTTAATAAGAAAAATAAAGGTGGTTGAGGAGGTGGGAGCTTTGCTGGTCCAGTGGATGTGTATTGGATAATCTTGCAAGTTTTTCTTCCTTTTCCTAGCATCCCTTGCTAGTTGTCTTTCGGTGATTCAATTTTGCAATTTTGTTTGGAGTTTAATCTTCACTATTGTATGATTTTGTTTTCATAAATTACGGGAAATTATCGAGAATAATTCAAGTTTGTTATTCTTTAATTGGTGCCAAAATAGAATGAAATAGAGTGGTTTGTGGGGATGGGTTTATACATGGAGGGGTTGGATTTGTTGATTTCTTGTATCTCTTTGAGATACTACCAAACAAAAAAAAAAAAAAAAGATGGAAGGGTGAGTGTAATGTGAACCTGCAATGCTTTGTTATGTTAATTGTTAATTTAGTATAATGATGTATGTTATTTATTTATTTATATGTAAATTTAGGTTTTATTGAAAATTTGAGATTGCTTTTGAGATGTTATATATAGGCAGCAGATGTTATTATGTGTCAATTGCTCCTCATTATCCACTACTCATATATAAAACCGGCTTAATCTGGTTGAACCCCGATTCGATCTTTAAACCTCAAATCCCCTGTCAAACTGGTTGATGACTTAATCCGGTTGACAACCTTGGTTCTATGTATAGGGAGGACTCAATTCCAATTCCAGGCGTTTCATTCACCAGAAGACTCTGAGAACCACATTATGGCAGGTGTCGATGATTACCCGGCCCTCGGGGAGCAAGCAACAGGTTTCCTTAATTTCTGTTCTCTACTGTTGATTCTTTTCATTAGGTTTTCTGATTTATTAATGGTGATTTTGTAGAACTTTTGGGTGAAGACTTTGATTCCCCGTTCGAGAGCAACATCGAAGTGAGATCTGTACTGTAGATATCACTATTTTCATTAGTTTCTACTTTTTCATCAGGTCTCTGATTTCATAATGTTCATTTGTTAATGGTTAATGGACGTGCAGGAATTTAATAAGGGTATGCGAAATGAACTCCTTCGTGAGTTGAAAACTCACTTGAAGGAGCATTCTATAGTTGCTTCGATTCAGGAATCAAAAGATAAGGTAATGACTACAACTTCAAGCCACATCAAACTTCACCTAATTCGCCTACTGATTTCTTTATTGGTTTTTCTCCCAGCTCATAGCAACCATCACTAGTAATGATATCTTGCCTGGGGGAACTTTCAGCTACAGGTTTAGTACCACCCCTCCAAGATCATCTGATATGGTAAATGCTTATCATTGTTACATCCTTCTTGTTCCTTCTTTTAGTTTTGTACATGTAAATGCTTATCATAATTACATTCTTCTTGTTTGTTGCTCATAAGACTGTTCTTTCTTCCTTCTGTTTTGTACAAACAGCATGAAATTTCTTACACGTATGGATTGTTTACGGGAAGTGCAAAGCACATATATGGAAGGGGAGCACTTTACAGTTTCCAAGAGTGTCAGATGGCAGTCCACGTTGACTCGTGGCGAGAAATACGTAGACTACCTTGCCGGTAGTCTCAAAGCGGTCTCTGGAGTCAACTCGCTTGTGAGCTTAAAGTGCTCAGTCGGTCGTGGCGCAGAGATTCGTGGGAATAGGGCAAACAAGCTCTCCTATTTGAGTGGTTCTTGGTCATTTCCCATCGCTATTAATGAGGACTCATAGTAGCAAAATCATAGTCTCATACATCAACAGAATTGTCACTCCAATATCATTAGCTGGCTCCAAAACTCACGAGCCAAAAGCAAAGGAGAAGCCTGTCTTCGTTGCTTTGTCTCCGAGTAGGTCGACCTCGGCACCATCCTCAGAACGGCGTTAAATTGCCACCTGTGCAACACCACAGCGTTCGCCTCCCCTCTGTGGTTCACTCAAAGCTTGAACTTAGTTGACTCATCGTATTGATGAGACAGCCCTACGATGAGGGAACCCTTCCGCTCCGTAAAATCACGCTCAACTTCAAAGCCAACACCAGTGGACTGGTTGATGAAGCCGTAACAAGAAGCAGCCATCTTAACTCCGGTATCCCTGTGTTCATATAAACAAAAAATTGTGAGTACTAGCAGGGAAAACAAAACAATACAAGAGAAACAGATTAAATGAGCTACTAACCATTTCGCACTCAAAGTATTGACTGTGACGAGGTCGACCTCCTCGGAGACAAAGCAACGAAGACAGGCTTCTCCTTTGCTTTTGGCTCGTGAGTTTTGGAGCCAGCTAATGATATTGGAGTGACAATTCTATTGATGTATGAGACTATGATTTTGCTACTATGAGTCCTCATTAAGCTTTGATATGGGGTAGTTGGATGTAAGTGACATGCTGTAAGCGTTTGTTAGGTTGTGGTTATTGCTTGAATTGGTATTTTGGACATGGGATGTAAAGGGTAAACTTTAGCGGATTATGAGTAGTTTCGGCAATATGGCTGAATCAGGAGTAGCTTTTTGTTGTTCCAGTTCTGATTAGATGTTCCTGCAAATTAGCCTTGGATCTATGTGGTACTGTATCTTTCTCTTCAACCCCTCTGCAACCGTAGAATTTCCATTTCTGTTTTTCTCGGTGCTGAAGTTCATCAAAGAACTTCACCTGATAAAAACGATAATTCTTGTCAATATTGCTGCCTTATTTCTAAGCTTAAGCACATGTCCGCCCTAGTCTTCCAACTTTTCATTTAGTGAAGGAAGTCTTTCCATGTCTTGGAGGAGGATGTTAATGGTTGGGAGGTTTTAGCAAACTGTTGGTGCTGCTGGCAGCAAAGTCTTGGTGTCTACTCGGTCCAGGGAAGTGCTATCCTAGGGATGACAACAAAACCCGAACCCATGGGTATCCTACCCGACACAACCCGGTCAATGCGGGTAAAACCGTGTTGACGGGTTTTGGGCCGGGTTTGGGTTTAAACTCGCTACACCATCACCGGGTTGGGTTGGGTTTGGATTTAGGCAAACCCACCCCATGGGTACCCGCCGACACTCATATAATTAATTTTTTCAGTATATTTAACATTCTAAACAATATATCTTCCTTAAACAACTAGTCTTTTTTTACGTTTGTGGAGGCATGTCTAATTTGTTCTTTCTAATTGTGTACGATGAAGTTGATATTATGGAGTGGAGATGAAGTTCATATTATGGAGTGGAGAGTGAAAAAGCTTAGTTGACAAGGAGGACGGAGCTGTCAATTAATCATGTTGTTTATAATGTTTATCTTTAATTTTGAATAATTTGTATTGATAATTTGCTGTTTGTTTGTATGCTCTAGATTGGTGTTTTTTTGTATGAACAATTTTTATGAGAAAATTGATGTTAGACTTTTATTTGGAAGAAACTTGTTATTGTAAATTTTTTACCGCAAAAATCCACGGGTACCCATGAACCCGCGAATAACCAGCGGGTTAGGTTGGGTTTGAGTTTTTCAAACCCAGCGAGTTTTACCCCGGGTTTTTTTGGCGGATAAACCCATGGGTTTGAGTTTGGGTTTCGCAAAACCCGCCCCAACCCGACCCATTGCCATCCCTATGCTATCCTTGGAAGTCTTGCCATTAGATGAGTCTTGGAATTTTTCCTTCATGGAGAAGTCCCACAGAATCCAGTTGTTGAAAAAACTAGGAAAGAGAGATTGGGTAAATGCTGTGGGGTTCCTCTTGCGTAGCTGGCTTGTTAAGCTCTAAGTGCTCTCAAACATATCTAAAGAAGAAAATCTAATCATGTCAGCCCTCCAACTAAGTTTCAATAATTTTCCTTCTCATCTAAAGCATTGCTTTTCTTATTGTAACTTGTTTCCTAAGGGTCATGAATTTGATGTTCAGAGGTTGATACAACTTTGGAAAGCACAAGAGTGCATTGCTTCAAAATCTTGTGGTGGAGGTCATTCTTCCAGGAGGTAAAGACAGGACGAGTTTGGGAATATATTGATAAGCAGGATGCATGACTTGATGGAGATCTTTATGATCAGGAAGTAGAGTGGCCTAGCTTTCCATGTCTTCCATCCGCCTTTTGCCTAAACTTCACTCAGCTGCCCACATTTCCAGCTCTTGAAGGAGAGTTGGAGTTGACCAGAGCTAGAGCTTGGAACCATTTATCCGGACACTGAAGATGAGCAGATGCTAGTTCATATGCGTCTACACATGAACATGATACATGTCGTCCATTCTCTATTTTGAAAAAATTATCAAACATACTATACTGTTAAAATGTTCATTAAAAAATCGACAACCATGTTGAACTGAGATTAAGACTGCCTGGCATAAGCAAATGTGAGAGGGAAAATGTCAATTTTTATTTCACTAGGTCTTGTTAAAGTGAAATTATAGGTATTTGGTTGAAAAAAAAGAAACAAAAAAAAAATCTTACAAGAAATTATTAGGGATATTTTAGACGTTTATTTTGTCCAAATCAAAGCTCGACCGTAATTGACAATTTTTAGATGAAAATTTTAACAAAATAGCATGTTTGATCACTTTTTCAAAGTACGCTGACAATGTTTGATATAAAAAAAATCGTACAAGGACATGTTTGATAAACATTATTAGGGACTAGATACTATAACAACACTAGTCTCCAACCAATAGGAAGCTAAGGTTGTGATGACTTTTTATTAGATGAGTTGAGCTAGTGTAAAATCAAAGCAGGGGTATAATTGTCATTATGAAAAATATGTTTAAATAATAATAATTTTTTTTATTTTCAGCCCAAAATTTTGGCCGCCGGAATTCGGCCACCGGTCGTCGGAATCTGGTTGCTGGTCACCGGAATATGCTATTTTGTCGCCGGAATATGCTCACCGGCGTCGGAATATACTTACCGGCGTCGGAATCTAGTCATCGGGGCCGAAATATGCCTATGGGCGTCGGAATCTGCTCACTGAGGGTCATCGGAGTTCGGTCAACGATTTTTGTTGACCGGTCAACAAACTTCATTGACCGGTCAACGGTCAACGACCACCGGATGTTATGGTCTGCATTGTGAGATTTATGGTTTGGTTTCTCGTATTTTTGTTTGCCTTTTGTGGTTTGCATTAAGAAGCTTCTGGTTTGCTTTATCATGTTTGTGGTTTGCATTGAGAAGTTTCTGGTTTGCTTTCAAAAAATTTGTGGTTTGCTTTGCGGGGTTTGTGGTTTGTTTTAGGAGATTTGGGGTATGCATTAGGAGGTTTATGGTTTGTTTTTGTGGTTTGCTTTATCGTGTTTGTGGTTTGCATTATGAGGTTTCTGGTGTGTTTTTTAAAATTCTGTGGTTTGCTTTGCGGGGTTTCTGGTTTGTTTTAGTAGATTTTTGGTATGCATTAGGACGTTTCTGGTTTGTTTTTTTGGTTTGCTTTAACGTGTTTGTGGTTTGCATTATGAGGTTTCTGGTGTGCTTTCAAAATATTTATGGTTTGGTTTGTGGTGTTTCTGGTTTGTTTTAGAGAATTTGTGGTATGCATTAGGGGGTTTCTGGTTTGCTTTTTTGTGGTTTTTTTTTATCACGTTTGTGGTCTGCATTAGGAGGTTTCTGGCGTGTTTATTAAAGACTAGTGATCTGCATACCACCGATAACTCCTAAATGCATATCATAAACACAATAATAAACTAAAATACATAAAAAAATGCGATTGATATACTGAGCTCCACAATAATTAGGTCAAAACTTGGACCCATCCGATATCCAGAACCCCATAAACACGAGGTAAACAATGGAGTATACGGTATACAGAGAAGGCAATATCTTAGAGAGAAAGTGCTCAAACAAACTGAGTGAAGGAAATAAATTGAAGAGAGGTGCAGTAGAGTCTCCCAATTATCATTCCTAACTCTTATGAGTAGCTAGCTTTCATCTGAGAGGTGCAGCAACAATATATATGTGACAAAATTGAATTAGTGAATCTCTCGCAACAACTTGAATTATTGCGATCAACGTACTGTTAACCCGTAATCCATCCATACTTGTTGTAACATTTCTGTCTCTACAACATTTTGTAACAGAGGGGAAGATCGAGGTGTTCAAGGAGCGAGTGGAATTCGACGACGCGAAGAAAACCGTGAAGCTGAACGGGCTGGAAGGGGACGCGATGAAGATCTACAAAGTCTACAACCCGATCTTCGAGTTCGTCGCCGGCGCCAGCGGGAAACAGGGGGTGGCGATGAGAGATAGGACGGAGACGAGAGCCGCGGCCAGGGCGAGGAAGATCTACAAAGTCTACAACCCGATCTTCGAGTTCGTCGCCGGCGCCGGCGGGAAACAGGGGGTGGCGATGAGAGATAGGACGGCGACGAGAGCCGCGGCTAGGGCGAGGAGGGACGGACGAATTGCCGGCGGGGAAGAAGCAGGGACAGCGGGGAAAAAGCAGGGCGGCGTGGAAGACATGTCTCGATGGGGTGAACTGGTGAAGGAAGATGAGGTATGATGTGGGATTAGGGTGGGTTTGAATTTTAATTTATTTTATTATTTTCAGCATAATTTATCCTTTTGCCCTTAATGAATCCTATTGTTATTATAACAACATAAAGAGTGTTGTTATACTATCCGGACCCACATTATTATACCTATAATCCAGTTAGATATTGAATGTTAATTAGAATGAACGAATCCTTTTTACGGTTACTAGATTTGGACGCGGTTCATTGACCGGACGAAATTTCATAGAACACAATAGTTAAACTTTCATGGTTTTGTTTTTTTTTCTTTTTTCAGGCATGCATGATTTTTTCCAAATGATAATATTTAACTTACTTTTGGGGAGAATCAAAATGAAAAATTCTGAGTCGGAAAACTAGAAATTTCACCAATGAATTTTTTTTAAATTCCAATAGAAGTGCTTCGCGCGAGAATATGAAACCTAAATTATAACATTCCGGCCCAAAGACGGACCACGCCCAATTGTCCATTCCCGCCCTCAAACCATCGATCTCCTTTCTCTCTCTCCTCCATCGATACAGCGGTCGAGCGCAAGGAGCCACGGACGAACTCAGCTGCCCTCCGACTTCCATTTCGGACATGAAGCGAGGCCTTCACCCCCGGCTGCTTCTGTGTTACTCCTCAACGCCCAATAATTCCCGTCGCTCGCCCGGAATCGTCGGGAAAAAGAGGCTGCGCTTGCGGGCAGGAAGGAAAGCCCGAACGAGAACCTATTTATCGCCGGTTGGAGGAATCAGATGACATCAAACAGCCTTCTAAATAATATCTGGTAATTGTTAATCCCATTTAGCATTTCCTCTAATCTTCCCTAAATAATATTTTTTGGGCATCGTAAATTAGTTGTTCGATCAGGCAGCCGAGAGAATCTAGGGATTTTTTCCTAGGTTTCCACATGATGTGATAATAAGATATCCAGGAATGGTCGCCCACTCCGCATTCCATGCCAATTCTTCTAAATTATCTTCTTTGAGGGTCATTTATTAGGGTATCACAATGATGGGCAGTCGTTGACATTTGAACTAGATCTGTTTTACACCACCAATCACTCAATTTTCAGTCTTTCATTCTGCATTGAGAACCCAGGGTTTTGCTTGGCGAAAAATGGCTCAAGTGCTTCTGATCCCTGTTGCTAAACAGATCCTTGGCAAAGTAACCAACTTGGCATCGGTGGAGATTGGACTGTTGTGGAACTTCAATGGGGAGCTAGAGAAGCTGAAGGACACGGTCTCCACTATCCAGGCCGTGCTCCTTGACGCCGAGGAGAAGCAGGTCCACAGCAACCAAGTCAAAGATTGGCTCGAGAAGCTGTCCGATGCAATGTATGATGCTGATGATCTGCTCGATGATGTCTCCATCGAGGCTGCACGAGCAAAAGATGCTGCAGATGTTGATGACGGGAGAAGAACAGGGGCAACTTGTTGGAGTTTGGTAAGATTTCTGGTCTCCTCCCTTCCGAAGCAATTGCTTCATACCCTTAAGATGGCTCGTGGTCTCAAGGCTATTCGGGAGAGGCTCGATATGATATCGATAGATAAGGTTAATTTCAAGTTGGAAGTTCGTACTGAGCAAGCTCTTGTTTCGTGCCGGGAGACAGATTCTTGTCCTCCCATAGTTGTTATTGGGAGAGAAGTTGACAAAAGGAGAATCATTCAGCTGTTGCTGAATTCCAATTCTGAGGACAGCAGCTTTGTTGTCCCTATTGTTGGAATAGGCGGATTGGGGAAGACCACGCTCACTCAGCTCGTTTATTGTGATGATCAAGTGAAGGCACACTTTGAGATAAGAGTGTGGGTGTATGTTTCACAGAAGTTTGATATAAAAGGGATTCTGGGGATGATATTGCAATCCATCAGTCGTGAAAGCCAACCAGATCTTGCATTGGATGTTCTAAAAGATAAGATCCAAGAGGAAATTTGTGGGAGAAGGTTCCTGTTTGTTTTGGATGATGTTTGGGAGGAAAACGTTGAAAGTTGGGAAGCTTTAGGAAAATATTTGAAGGTTGGTGGCTCTGGGAGCAGAGTGTTGGTGACCACTCGGTCAAAAGAAGTGGCTGAGATCAGTAGCAGAATTTTGAAACTGGGAACAAGAAGTAGTATGATGGAGTCCCCCTATTTCCTGGAAGGTTTGTCACTTGATGAATCATGGAGTTTGATGGTGGAAAAGGCCCTTCATGGAAAAGTGCCTCAAAACCCGAATGTAGAAAGAACTGGGAAAGAGATACTAAGGAAATGTTGTGGAGTGCCCCTTGCTGTAAGTACAATAGCTGGTCTATTACGTTCCAAAGATCCGGAGACTGAATGGTCATTGTTTTCAGAGAATGATTTGACGAGCATTTCTGAAGAAAAGAATCTTACCATGTCAACCCTCCGACTAAGTTTCAATCATCTTCCTTCTCATCTGAAACGTTGCTTTACTTATTGCAAGTTGTTTCCAAAGGGCTGTAAACTGTATGTTCAACCTTTAGTACAACTTTGGATAGCACAAGGATATATCAAATCGGGAGATGAAGGTTCAGAAGAAATGGGTTTGCATTGTTTCAAAATGTTATGGTGGAGGTCGTTTTTCCAGGAGGTGAAGATGGATAAGTTGGGCAATATAGAAACTTGCAAGATACACGATTTGGTTCATGATTTAGCCTCGTCATTAACAAGAGCAAAAATCCTCAAAATTTCAGATTCAAGTGCTCTGAAGAACATATCTTCAAAAACTCGTCATTTGGCTGTGATGCAGGGAACTAGAGTTGGTGCTGGTTATATGCGAGAGGCAAGCAAGTCGAGAACATTTATGTGTCATATGCCAATTGAAGAATCAAGAAAGATCATCCGCTACTTCAGATTTTTGCGGGTGTTGGTAATATCATTAGAAAGAGATTTGCTGTATTGGCGGAGTCCGTTGAAGCTGGAAGAAGACTCGTGGCTCCTCCGTGGTCATAACAGACAAGATTCTGAACTGTTCGATTGTATTGGTGAGTTGAAGCATTTAAGATTTCTTCGTTTCTCCTGCCAACAAATGACAAAGCTTCCCGATTCTGTTACTAACCTTCTTACAATGCAAGTGCTTGACCTCTCATTATGTAGTCACCTCACAGAATTACCTAGGGATATCAGAAAGCTAGTTAATTTGAAGCATTTGTACCTTGATCCTTCTGTGAAGTTGACTCATATGCCTAAGGGGATTGGGGAATTAGCGTCCCTTCAGACTTAAAAAAGTTTGTGGTTGGCACTAGGACCAGTGGAGATGTTGGGGGGCTGGATGTGTTGAACGGGTTAATTGCTTTATGTGGGGAGCTCACCATTGAAAGCTTGACTAATGCTGTGCCTGTGGGTATTTATGTCTTGAAGAAGCAGTTATGTCTTAAGTCTTTGGTTTTGAAATGGAATGAACTGCATTACAGTTGCTACTCTTCTTCTGCTAATAAAGATGAAGAGATCCTGGAAAAGCTCAGCCCACACCCTAACATAAAAAAGTTGGAGATACACCATTACGGAGGCTTAAAGCTTCCCAACTGGTTGTCCATCACGAATCTGGTGGAGATATCATTAGCAGGTTGCTGGAGTTGTGAGTATCTTCCATCATTGCATAAACTCCCATCTCTAAAGAAGCTCCACATTCTGAATTGTCCAAATCTAAAGGGCATTAATATAGAGAACGCGGAAGAGGAGTGGCCATGTTTCCCATGTCTTTCTCACTTGGAAATACTCAACTGCCCAAACCTGACTTGCATGCCTCTCTTCCAAACCATTGAACAAAAATTGTTCCTGGGGAGAACCAGCTCACAAGCATTGGTCCGGACAATGATAAAGAAGGTAGCTCCCGATACAGAGGAACGTATGTCCTCTTGCTATACTTGGCCTCCACTCTCCAAGTTGACACATTTGAGACTCGAAGGGATTGATGACTTGGAATCTCTGCCAGAAGAAGGCATGCACAACCTCACTTCCCTTCAGGAGCTTCTTATTTTCGAATGCCCGAGGCTAGCATCTTTGCCTCAAGCGGTGAAACACCTCCCCTCCTTACAAACATCAAACATTCGGGGATGTCCTCAGTTGTCAACAAAAAGATGCAGTGAGGACGAGGAAGAAGATATCATCAGTTTGGACTTCCAGAAAACCTCCATGGGTTCAGGTATCTTTTTGCCTGAAACGGTGCTGCAGCCTGCAGCACATTCATCATCGCATTTTTATTAGTATTTTCTTATCATATGCCAAAAGTCCTAACGAAACTTTTTCGGTCACTTCTCTGTGTTGTGTTTTGGGTTACAGCTTATCCATATTGTCCAAAGTGTTCTTGGCAAATTACCAAGAAAGTAATATTGAGGAGGAGGATTCCTAGGCAGCTGGGCATATTTCCTTAGTAGCTGCTCTCAAATTGGGTATGACTCTAGCTCAACTCGACACCTCTTTGCTCATTTTACAACTTTTTATACGTAGTGTTAAGGACCGAACCTTGAATATGGCTTGAAGAAGGTGTTGCTAGTAGGAAAGAATCTGAATAAGCAATGTAGTTTGATTGACTTGAATACTGAAGGAGAACAAAGTGCAATTGTGTCGTTTTAGTGTCACTTGGTCAATTTTGTTTTAGTCTTTATGCTTGATTATTGTTTGAGTCTATCGTGTTAAAAAGTTTACAGCTCGAATAAGAGTCAATTTAAGAAGTGGTTAGTAATGGTAGCTAAAGTCCAGTAGCAATGACGTTAGAATCTATTAGGTGTGGCCGAGATCAAACTGTTGATATCTTGGATTACAACTCCTCTATGTTATCCAAACTGTTCCTGGCAAATAACCGATCGAGTAATATGGAGGCAGAAGATTCAGGAGATGTTTCCTTGATAGCTGCTCTTGAGTTGGGTATGATTCTCTTCGTTCATGTTTCACCTTCTTGTATGTTGACGGTCAGAAGAAGTGTTGGAATAGAAGATGGTTCATGAATGGTTTCTGTAAAACATTAATTAAACTACTTATAGCTGTGGTCTTAAACCAATATATTTCCTGGTTGTTTGTTGATTGTTTTAATCAGACAAAGGGAAGCTTCTTTAGTTACACTTCAACTGCTGTGTGAAACCTTGAGGGAACAGAACTACTGGGAATGATAGTTCTGTGTGGGGTCGTTTAGTGGACACTTGGGAGCAATGTGTTCCTTGCCCCACTGTTGAGGCACGTAACCGTGCTCGTCCCAGCCCTCGGATGCCCGTCCAAATCTCCTGAGCCTGTGCCTGTGCCTGCAGTCTCTGCCACCACCAGAGGGTGTCAGAGCTAAATAATTGATAGAAAGCAGCCCTGCATCTGAAGACATGCCGTCATGGGTAAGATTGATTTCCCCTTGAAGAGCTAAACTATGAAATTCCCAGTATTCATTTGGCAATAATCGGTCGTAAATAGAAGGGATGGAATTGATCGATATCTGTGTGTGAAGTACGTGGACAATTCTCTCCAGAAAATCCTCGTTGTGGAAACTGGGATTCCTAATTTGAACTGATCTGTCAAGGTCTCTTCTTCTCTAATCAATGAGTATCGAGACGCGATCGTGTTTGAGTGAGTTTAGAGTGACAGATCTCTGGTTTAATGGCTTACTTCCAGAGTATACATATTGCACGAAGTAAAGCGATATAGGGCAACACTGACATAGGCATTTATTTTTTGCTTATGAAAATTGTTGGCTAGGAGGGATAGCATTACTTGTATTGTCTATTAGCTTACTTAAGCCACGATGAACGTCGTGTTGCCTGAAAGATAGGGATTTGAATTTGATGAACGTAATAATGTCAAGTTGGGCATAGGCTGTCCATTTGGTTTTAACCGAAACCAAACCAATTGGAAAGCTAATGGTTTCAGTTTTTTGGTTTTCAACCAATAAGCAACTTAATGGTTTTGGTTTGGTTAAAACCATGGTTGTCACGCCGGTCGGCGTGCCACCGGTTGTACCTGGTTCAACTGGTACTGGTCATAAAACCGGCATGACACCACCGGTATGACCGGCATGATCGATATTCGAATCTCTAAGTAAAATGATTTTATTTTAGTGAATTTAATTGATAAAAATTATTTTATTATTTATTTTATGAGTATAAAAGTTAAATATTGATGTTATTTGTTGGATTAAGTATAAATGTTTAGGTATTGACGTTAAATGTCATGTTTAAATATGAGTATCTATAATTTTATTTGTAATATTGACCGGCATGAACCGGCACAAACCGGTATGTGCCACCGGTTGAACCATTCCACTTGCTAAACCGGCATACTGGCATAAACCGGTTTGACAACCTTGGTTAAAACCGAAAAACCAATAGAAACAATTAAGAAACCAATAAGAATAAAATTATTTATCAACAAATTTTTTTTTTGTTTCTTTTGACACGCATGCCAACCAATAATTTGTTATGGCCATTTACCATTATTATGACGTTTATTCAATAAAAAGGAGGGAAATAAGAATAAATATGAGTGTATGAGTACATGTTGGTTTTTTGGTTTTTGGGATTTGGTTTTTCATACTTAATGGTTTGGTTAACCAAACCAAACCAAATTGACAGCCCTAATTGGGCAATAGATTTTGTGCCATCTTGTACACCATCCTTCAAACGTAATCTAAATGGTCAGACGAGGGTTGATACTCTTTCGACGAACAAAGACGCTCTGATACCATGTTACGACGGTGTTCCGACGACTGTACAGAACTTGGACATCTGATACCGAACACAACATAATTGATATTGACGCCATTTTTTTCACTTCTTTCTTTCTTTCTGTGAACAATGTGAATGGGGATGGGTTTATATATGTAGAAGCCGCAAGGCCGTGGCACCATGGCGATAGACGTTGAGAAGGGAAAGGACGGGATATGGAGGGAAAGCCCGAGGGTTTTTTGCATGGTTCAGGAAACCGTACGGGACATCATACCGGATTCCTTTCTGGTAGGGTATTTTATGGTACGACCGTGGTTCAATCGTTTCTTACCAGTAAATATTATTTTTATAATAGTAAAATATTATTTTGTCAAAGAATCGTGTCGGTCAATCAGTGTACCGTGTCGGAGTAATACCGGATTGTACCGGAATATTACCGGATAATAAATACTATATATATATATTAATTATGAGACATACCAAATAATTTAAAAATACCCATCCTTCTCTTTCTTGACAAATACCGCAACTAGTACCAGGCCACCACATACTTCTTTATCCATATGCCTTATTCAGTTATTTGTTGTTTCAGAATGGAATAATCTTTTCGGTTCCGACGCATGCGCCTTCCTCTCCTAACAATGACAATCCACCAAACCCTTCTTTCTCTACTTCCAAATTCCAATGGCTTGTTGACTACACATTCAGCTTTTGGATTCCTCTCGCCTTTCCTATCTGGTTCTTTCCTTGTTCTTTTCCTTTAGTTCAAGAGTGAGAGGATCGATCAAGAAGGAGAAAAAGAGGACTCGCATCAATCATTCAATCGCTGCGAGAACTCTCTCCCGCGGCAGCTTCCTATTCACTCAGATCCAGTAAAAGATGTTGGGATTTTTAGTGGTGTGAATGGAAATAAAAGGGGAAAGTTTCAAGAGAGTCTCTTGAAGTACCATGTTGGTAAGATGTGAGAAGGCATGGCCTCGAATTCGATCGATTTGATGTAATATGTGGTTAATTGGTTAAATTGGTTTGTGTAACCAAATGAACCAAACCGAGTTGAACCAAATCAAACCGAACTGATGTGGCGGTTGGAATAACCAAACCGGTCCAACTTCCATGAGGCCGAACCAATGCAATGGTTGAAATATTTTAAACGAACCAATGCAATGGTTGGGGTGTAACCACCCATATGAAGAGTTGCCTCCCTTCAATGCATCCCTTCATTTTCTATAAATAGCACCATACCCCCTCTTGTTTTAACGACGAGTTTTACATGGATTTTTCCCGGTACTGAAACTCTGCCAAAATCCAAAACTAGTTTTTCTGCATTCTTTTCAAAGAGAAAATAGAGTCAAGTGTGGTTCTCGCCGTTTCGCTGCGTTCGATGGTTTTCGGGGTTTGAGGTACCGCTACACCGGAAAAGGTACGTCCTTTCTATCCTGGGAGGAATCATTCCACAACCTTGGGTACTTGAGGGGAATAAGATTCTTTAAGGAGAGATAGTGAATTCTATCGGCTAGGACGCTTGCATATGTCTTTGCATGTTTTCTTAATCTTATGTGTTTGCTTGTGCTGCAAGAAA